TCAAACAAATGGAGCAAAGAGAAGTAAAAAGTATGGAGAGTTCAATTCAAATGAAAAAACTCAGCAAATGTTCACAGTGAGGTTTGTATGTTGTTGTTTCATGTCGCTGTTTGACGTCTGGAGGAGAGAGCCACTGCACTTTAATCCAATTTTGCTCTCTCCAGGCTCCGGTAAGACAGTAAAGCTGTAAACAAAGTGAACATGTGAAACACTTCTCACAGTTATATAAACCAGGTGCTTTCAAACTTAAAAAGCTCAGACCTGGAGACACAGTCAGACGGTGACTGACCAATTTCTCATTTAATGCATTTTGCTCAGTTTATGGAATGCAAGTGAGGTCAGACTGAATTATAGAGCAGGACTTGATTGTGAAACCGAAGAGTTTCACAATCATAGAGAAGGAAAAACAACACATGATAACAGGAAAGCAGTGCGTCGAAAAAATAAAATAGAAACTATGCGAACTAGAGAAAAATGCAGTAACAAGATAAGACTAGACAAGCGTATGACAGTAAATAATAATGTGAAGGTAAAAACAAATTATGAATTAGACAGAAACAGGCAGAATTAAAAAGATTAAAGGTATGGTACGATTTATGATTCAGTACAAAAAAGTCCACTATTTCAAAATGAGTTTACATCCCACCACTGGTTATAATACCAAACATTTTTTGCATGTTTGTCATTAAATAACTGTGCAGAGAGGAAAAAGAAAGATAATAATGTGAAAACAATCCCCGGCCTCTGATGGTATAATCATCACAGAATCGTGGTGGAGTTCGAGCACAGTCTAATTGAATAACGGTCATATCAGTGAACGAGTGGGAGTGTGGAGTGATTTACCGCACAGGGGAGCGTGCTTATCTCTCCCTCTGTCCCATGCAGGAAACACTGGGATGTCACCAGGCAGATTAAAAGCTTGGCACAGCTGATATGGAGCACTCAAAATGGACGGGGTGGGGACCTCTGACTGCTGCGCGAGGGGTTTTGGAGGAGCAGCGCCGGGCGGCGGCGGTGGTGGTCGTGACCTTATGAGTCCTGTTTGGCAGAGATTCATTCAAAACCTGGGAATTCCACTGGAAGTTAAACGGGGGGAGGGGGGTGAAACGATGTAGCATCACATAACTTGAATGGAATTTGGTGTAGTAAGCATATTTCTGTCTCTGATTTCTGCCGGGCCACATTTTCCAGCTGCTCCCAGAGGAAAAATAGAATGAAACCAGGATTCTTTAGTGTTTCTGAGAGAACAAAGAGAAACTGTGGGTTGAAAGGAAAAGTTTCTAAGGGATCATGTTTGCAGGATCAACAGCCTGCCTTTTAATTGTGCTGAATGTTCAAAGTGGCTGTTGGTCACAGTGCAGCTGCATCACTTATAATTGAATTCCTGACAGCTGCAACGTAAGGAATTTTAACCAGTTAGAACGAGGGCTATGAATCTGGAGCTGCGTATTTTGTTTTCAAACGGCACCACCGGCACTAAACGTGTGCAAACTGATGTTGTTTTCCACGTAGCCGTCCGTGTATGTCAGCTGACTCTTTGCCTCTCGAAATGAGGCAATATAATGGAGAGAGGTGTTTGATGGGAACACAGGCAGACGGATCTGGAGGAGCAGCTGCACAGAGGACGCGGGGCCAAATATAGAAAGGGGACAAGGGCCAAAACATATCACACATTTTTTCCCATTAACAGCATAGGTTTGAATCTAACTTGGCGCCAATTAGTTGTAGTATAGGCACTGGGACTTAAAAATAGAGCATAGCACGGGTGGTAATATACCCGGCACGCAGAGACAGATATCTCTGTCATGGCGGCGTGTGATTTCACATGTAATCATGTGAAGGAAAAATAACAGTATTCATATCACCAGCTGGTTCGTTATAACTCGTGACGTGGAAGGTTATGTGACAGATGGAGCCTCAAACATTTGTTTCTATTACCTGTCATGCTGCTTTGAGCACCGAGCCTCGGCTTGGGCCTATTTTCAGTCTGATTCACTGAGGGTTTGGCAAGATCCTCGCCGCTCTATCGCTCCCCGCTCAGTTTCAACATTTGCTTGTCTCTTATCTCTGCGGCCGAGGTCTGGAATGAGGGGCATGCAGGCTTCGGGCCTACCTGTTTACACTGAGGGCTTCCTCCATTGTCCACTACCCCCCACCCTCCCACCTCCCTCAGCTTCCTTTGACAGATTTTTCACATTTTTGTGCTCGCCTCTGTTTTGGGAAGAGGTCAACGGGCTCGGCACACGGGAGCCGACGATGGCATCCCTGAATCACTCTGGTCTCGGCAGGAATTCTTTCCTACGGCACATATCGTCCTTATCGTACACACACCTGAGATATTTTTACTGCAGCAAACCAAACACAGTGCGAGTGCCACCGCTTTATCCTTTGATACTGAGCAGAAACCCGATCGCTCCTGTGTGATTCCTTCAGCGCGGCCCCAGGTTTACTGAGGAACGAAGTCATCGCTTGTCAGCTAATCCCCCTCGCTACAGAAATAGACTCGCTTCGGTCCAGTTTTGGTGACTGTTATGCAACTCTTGATGGTTCATGGTTAAGCATGTATACATGACCGGCTTATACCCTCAGTAATACGGTCCAACCTAATCTACTGGACTAACCGTCTAAACTTAATTGTATTTCTAGAACTATTCTATTACCAGTGTATTTCTGTAGGGCCTATAAAAGCTCTCTTCTTCTGTTTGCTATTATAGTAATTGTACGTGTTATTTTGTACTCTGTCATGTACTGTATGTGCTCATGTCACATAGGGTGAATCTTAAAATAAAAACGAATTTATAATACAGCTTATCAACTATAATAAATGTGATTTGTCTGTTTTTAGATGCAGGTGAATGAATTTCACTGCAAACAAGTTCTCTTCTTGAAGGGTCCCAGCACGGAGAGTCCCTTAATCCTTATTATCCAAAGAGGTTCTCAATGAGATTACAACCCGGCACCAATATTACAGCTGGACACCTAGTTACCATCTGCTGCCACTGGTGGAGAAAACATTCTCCTCATATCAGCTCATATAAACTGAACTGCAGGTACAATATTGTGCTGTTAAACAAAAGCAAAACAACAGTGATAAAATACAGTTACCTGTTTAAGTTTAGAATTTTGGGCGATTTTTTTTTTGTCTTGAATTTAGTTTTGATTGAGTAAAATAAAGGCTGCTGCCCTTTTTCTATGTTTCCAGAGAGAACTCTTAATAAATGTGTTCGTAAAGGTTCATTACTCGAGTTCTTCTTCCCGCTATCACAGCTCCACAGCTCCACACCTTGTAAATAGGATTTCAAAGCACTGCACTTGTAGTGGAGATTAACTTTGAGCAAAGATTAAGCAAATTAACCAGGATGGTGTCTCCCGAAATAAACAGTTGCTGCGCAGTTAGCTCAACAGCAGTCATGATGTAGAGCACGGAATAACATTTCATGGATACTTTCAAAACAGTTGGGAATTTCACGATGACAAAATAGGTACGTTTGTTTTAAAAGTCCATAATTAAAGAATATCTGTATGTGTTTGTTTGCTAAAGAGTTTTCTTTACATTGTTTACAGCCTTCAGGTTTAATGTGATGTTTGCTACAGTTGAAGCTTCAGAAATATCAAATAGACATTTCACTTTCATTTCATTACAAATTTTTTTCCTGGATAGGAAAAACATAATTATTAGTTTAATTTCAAAATAGTAATATATTATATTCATATTATATATGACAAATAAATGATACTACTTTGACAGTAGTACCTGATCCCGATAAAAAATATCTAAAATGGATATTACAGCTATTCTAATAGCTGTAATATCCATTTTAGATATTTTTTATCTATCAAAGTTAAATGTCTCAATGATTTTCTTATCACATTTGGTAAAAAATAAGTTTTAACAAAAATGGTCTGTACTTATTTTTGAAAGCTAATAATTTTGAAATGGTTCAGCTTAAAGTTTCAGGTTTTACGAGACTTCATTAAGTTCTGTGATACGCCAAAGGATTTCTTTTATCCTATACAGCTTTGAAGAGCTGCGTAATTTTAGATGAATTTAATATTTCAAAAATGATAATACTAGAATGTGCTATTAAATCATTCTCATCTTCTGACATTCATGCTAAAAGAAATACCAGGTAGAAGCTGGTAAAAGAGAATTAACCGACACCTTACCATTTGTTATGTGCGTTTCAGTGTTGTTAAAACCCAGGTAATCAAATAATTGAAGATGCTATTCACGTGGCAGCTTTTCTAGAAGTCAGGTCATGTTGCCTGATGGCCGCAGTCTAACCAAGTAAACAACATATGCTTGCAAGACATTTAAGCTGTTTACACATCATAAATTATCTAAGTTTCCATGATGCTGATGTTGTTTACGTGTCGACACCTTTGCATAACATGCTTATTTGTCACTGAGAGCTTTTCTTCACATACATATATAAGATCTTATGTGCTGAAGCAACGTCCGAAACCTTTAGGGGTTTTTCTACTAGGGATTTAAAAATCTCATAACTTCACCTTTTTAATCGTCGACCAAACAGAATGAGACCTGAGAAGCCCGAAGAAGCCAAAACATAGGAAACCTTCATATTTCTACGATTTATCAAATTCTTTACATTTCTTTCTTGCAGCAAATCTCAATGATGAACCAGACAGGACTCCGGAGGATCCCCCCTGACCAATCGTCAGGGAGTGGCCACACCCTCAGCACCCCTCGCCATCCGCGCATCAAAGACCCCATTCTTTCAAAGCGGGTTTGCTTCTACAAAAGCGGAGATCCTCAGTTCAGTGGACTGCGCATGGTCATCAACAACCGTACCTTCAAAACCTTTGATGCACTCCTGGACAGTCTCTCTAAAAAAGTCCCCCTTCCATTTGGGGTGAGAAACATCACCACCCCTCGGGGGATTCATGCAATCTACACGCTGGACGAATTGGAGGATGGCAAGTCCTACATCTGCTCTGACAGGCGGAAGGTAAAACCCATCAACTTGGCACTGGCCAGGAAGAAACTGCCGCCATGGTACCATGCCAGGCCCGCTACTTCCCGTCGCAGGACCGTGCAGCAGGCCAGGAGTTTTCCAGGCCGCAACGCCCACAGACAGGAGCCGGTGGTTGTGCGAATTCCAAAGAAGCTGCTGGTCTTTCACAACGGAGACCCCACGTTAAAACACTTGGTGGTGCTTCACAAGAGGACTACGGCTAATTTTGAGTCCGTCCTGGAATATATCTCAGAGCTGATGCAGTTCCACGTGGTGAAACTTCACACACCTGATGGCAGACGTGTGAGTGTTAAAAGCACCGAAGCCTGACATCTTATGACGAGAGCAGCATAAAGTTTAACCACTGAAGAAATCAAACAAATCTGACGGATTCACAAACAGAAACAAAGTTATTCTAGGTCTAATCTGTCATCTTAAATCACATGACCATTTTACCATATACTTTTCAATTTGATCCACTGATAAAATCCAGTTTCATTCATTAAAATGTGTACCTTCAAATACAACTCAAATGTTTATGTTTTAGATATTTGCTGGCCTCATTATTGGTCCATGAAGGCCCAACTTAAACCTGGCTTGTAAATAACCATCACCTGAGGAGAGAAAGTGTTAATCTTCTTTAGCAACTCAACCTAATACCTAGAAAGGCAATCTGGGATACTGCAGTGCAAGGCTTTAGGTCAGGGAATCTGTGCTAATTTAATTTATACTTTTAATACATACACTGCACATTTAGAATTCGAATTTAGAGCTGTTATAGATTAATACATTTTGCATAATAAAGGGGACAAATTAAGATTTTATTTTATGTCTGTTGCAGGTTGACGGTCTTCCAGGCTTGATATTGTGCTCTGGGACGGTCGTGGCTGCAGGCAGGGAACCTTTCAAATCTGCAAACTACACCTCCCAGAGATCACCAGCTCCCACACAGTTCTCTAACAACCGAAAGAGACAGAGAAGATCAAAGTCTTTAAACCGTAAGTTAAATGAGAATATGAACTTTTTAATATATTGTTATGTGTGTGCGTTAGTCCAGTAGGCCTTCATACAGAGTGTCTGCAGTAATCTACCTGCTCTCATGGGATGACGATTGAGAAAGTGCTGAGACGCCGATATTATGCATAATACCATAGATGACCCACATACACTGTCTACATGGCTGCCGGCTATTGTTCTTCATGAGCTGTGAATAGCTGTTCTCTCTTTCTAACTTTTCCTTCTCTGTCTTTTTTCCTATTTCACGGTTCTTCCTGGGGATCCTCTTCAAACTGCCGGCCTAACCTCTTTCACCCTCGCCTGAAAACGTTGGACATTTCTACTTCACTTTTGAACATTACCCCCTTGTTAATCTGCTTGACTCTTTTGAATGACTGAAAAGGTAAAAAAAAGTACCGCTCACATCATAATTCAAAGTCGAGGAATTTCTCTCTATCATCTGAGAGGTACATTGTGAATCGGATCCATAACTCCATGGCAGGGAGTTCGTATGATTGCCCCCTACCCACTAACCCCACAAACTCAGTGGAGTTAGAGTCCATAGCAGGAACAGGTGGAGCTGAGGGGCAGGGCTGCCTGCCACCCGCTGAGGATGACATCGAGAAGTCTTTCCGGGTGAACCAGGATGGCAGCATGACAGTTGAGATGAAGGTACGCCTGACACTCAAGGAGGAGGAAACCATCCATTGGACGACCACTCTTTCACGCTCAAATGTTGCCAATGAGCTTAATGTGAGCTGTTTACCGGAGCCTGTGGCGGAGGAGGAGATCTGCTCGCCTGCATTATATCCAGTGGGTTTAGAAGCTCCAGCTTCCTCCATCGACAGCATCAACAAGGATAAAACCAAAGACAACCATGGGGATCCAGGATCGCCAAGAAATGGAGCTTTCAATAGGAGCAGTAAAAAAGAGGATAACACCAAAGTACAGACAACCATGGTGTCACCTACCAGAGCTCCTACACCAGGGTACAAGGAAATAAGAAAAAAACAAGCCTCTGTGGAGAGCGTCGAATCCCTGACAGCGACCGGTATTCAGGACGGCGTGGTTAGTTCCTACTCCTACAAGGAACAGATGGAGAACGGAGCCATGTCAGAGGAGTATTGTGTGGTCAAACAGCGCACCACAAGACCGGTACCCAAACCGAGAAGACTCTGCTCTGTGGATTGCAGCAACATAAAAAGCAGGAATATATCCTCATTCAAATCATCAGAGATCCTACAGATTGAATCCAGCAGTGAGGAGGTCACAGAAACTGTCTTGCACATATATGAACAGCAGATGTGTCAGGATAATTTCCTTGCAAACATCTGTGCACATGATATTCCACCTTATGGGAGGCCTGCGACTTCAGAAACAGGAGAGTACTCCTCCAATAATGAGTTCGAACCCGAGTTCTGGAGACCTTCGACAGCATCTGAGTCCATAAGCATCTGGAAGACGGAGAACAGGTCTCCAACTTCGGATTTTACTTTGTCATCACTTAAGACAGCTGTGACTCAAGCAACAAATAAGCAACAGTTCTCAAAGTCAACAAGAGGCAAAGACAAGCATGAACAAAAGGAAGTCAATAAGGGGAAGAGGAAATCCAAAGCACGCAAAAAACGAGCTTGGCGGCTGTTGACACCCGGTAAAAGGCAAAAACAGAATTCTGCAGGAGGAACTGAGAAGCATGTGAAGTCGAAAACTTTCTCCAGCGCTGGGTACATCAAGAGAATTTATGGGAATAAATCAAAATCACCAAAAAACACGTCAAAGCCTAAAAAGAGACCAATGCAAAATGCGGATGGGAGTGTTACAACAAAAAGCTCACAATCGTCAGATGGCACGATCAAATGGAACCTAAAAATTCCAAATGTACAATCGCCCCCGAAAGACAATCAGAGTGAGACAGTTTCTTCAGAAGCAAGGAGGCTTGATATTTCTTCTATTGAAGTGAGCCAACCGAGGGGATCACTAACACGGCAGACATCAGTGCACAAGGAGAAAAAGAATGAAAACAAACCCTGTGATATCAGCAATAGCAAAACATTGTCCAGCTCTGGTACAAATGAATATGTACAGAAATGGCTGGAGAAAGCTGACATTAACACCACTTCCTACCCAGATGAGGAGGGTAGAAAATCAGATGCAGATATCAGGAATCAGGACTCTGAGAAATCTGAACTACAACCAAGTCAAACCCTCAGATCTGATTCATTGAGAACACCCGTCAAACTGAGAGTCAAGTGTTTTGAAAACCAATTATCAAATTCACCGGGGGAGAATAAAACAGCGACTCAGCGAGAGGAAATTGCTCCTTGTAATTCCACCACTACAAGCACAGAGAACTGCACCAGTGTAGCCCAAAATAACACAGAAGGAAAACCCCTCTTGAATGGTACCTGCTGTGAAAAGAATCCAAGTCCAATAAAAATCTCTTTGCAAAAAGCAACACCTTATAATACAATCTCAATGGAGTTACTGCCACCACCACCACCGCCCGATGAGTTAGAAGAGCTGAACGCTGAATGTTGCATGATGGATCTGTCGTCAGTGGCCAGCAGCCCATTATACCGACTCTCATCAGTGAGCAGTCAAATGTCAGATAATCATCCATTATCCATAAGTCCTACATCTGACAAGGCCACGTCACCCACAGACCGCAGAATGGAAACAGTTCAGAGCGACACTCATTCCATGCTGAGAGAATTACCAAGAGTACCATCTATTAAAAGAGCCCCTCTGGTCAGCAATATGTCTCTTGAAAGGCAAATGTCTCTCAGGAAAGCTTCTCTGAGCAAATACACTGTAGGTGCTGAGGACACAACAGCATCCAACACCATGGGGGATGATGACAGTAGTGTGCTGCCAAATGGCCTCTGCTCAACAGGGACTCACCAGAAATCAAACAGCGTCTTAGATCTGAAAAACAGGCCATCGCTCTGTACTTCTGCATCTCCCACAAGTATAACATCCGGAGAGAGAATGTCATCAGACAGCATTTCATTGAGTGAGACGCCGACGCCAAGTGATGCTCAATTCGTACAAACAAAACAGACAAAGACGGCTCAGGAAAAAGCAGCATCACCTAAACCACTGGTGAAAAAAGTGAAAATAATAACCAGCCCATCTCAAAATAGAAAATACCAAAGCAAGAAATTATCTTTTGACCCATCTAATGACTCTCCACAGTTATCATCACATGAGCAGCATTCGAAGAAAACTATGTCACCAAATATCACAAAACGCGAACCTGCCCCCGCTCCTAGCCCGTCTACTGAGAGAAGGAAGATGCTTCACAAAGCCAAGATGCCAAAGAGGCCATCTCCATATTCTCAGTCTCTGGACATGGTGTCCCCACCTGTCACAAATAAATCAAATAAAAAGAAGCTCTCCAGAAACCTTTCCACAGATTATTCATCAGATCCTGAAAATAACACAAAAAGGAAAACGTCATCCAGAAGAAAACGCCACCAAACACCGCAGTCCATAAACTCATCAGCTGAACAGGACAAAACACAAACCACGTTGGAAACAAACCAAAATGATAGAAAAAAGAAAGATCAAGAGAAATCTGCTACACAAACTCAGTCGCTGCCATTAAATACTGCAAACCTACCCAACATGAAACCTGTGCTGGAGCAGATTTGCTGCTCAATAAATTCAATCAGACAAATCACACAGAACAAACATCCCTCCAGTGTGAAGTCCAAAAGCCTGCCCGACTTCTCCTCTCACGTCGCTTCTACGTTTGGCTCCTCATCCAAAGCTCTCCTTGCTTTCCTGTCTGTCATGACCCTAAATGAAGGAATATATAACTCTGACAGGGACAGGCTGAATGCAAACGTCAGCTGTGCCGAGGCTTTAAAAATGATCGAGTCCCTCAGAGAGATTGCCAATATCAAGGATTCCCAAAAGTTAGAGGCTAGTTTGTGCAATCTGCAGAGGTCGACCTCGAAGCAGCTCCTGCAAAGCTGGAGGGGCTTTCAGGAACTCAGCGACAAATGCAAGAGTTGCAGCTTGACTCCAAATGATTCTCAAGAGCTCATAGTAAACAAGGCTAAAAATGACTATAGCATAGAAGAAAAGGTCATCGATCGGATCATAGACAACTTCGACATACCTAAGAAGCTCAAGGAGGAATTAATGTCTCTTTCCGAAAATGTTGATAAAGAAAATATGTCGACCAGGTTCATAGAAAAAGATGAACTGTCACAAAAAGAAAACAGAGATTCTAAAATATCTCACTGCTCCAGAGAAGATGTCATGACTGTCGGGATTGTGACTGAAGACAATAAAACTAATGTGGACGTGAGTTCCATGATTAAGAAATTCGCAATCGTTAATGAGCCAAAACAATCTGACATGCACAATATCCCTCTGAGAACAGAGACACTGAAACATAAACCACCAGCTGAAGTAAAAGATAAGCAGGTCACTGAGAAAACGCAGCATCGCATTCACAATGAAGACAAAGTAAGTCAGGAAACGGCAAACATGAACAGAGTTATAGAGTGTAGGAAGCTGCACGTGCAAAGTGAGGGGAGCATGAGTATCCCAGAGAGTGGGCACATTACTGATGAAGTTTCAGGTGCAGATGAGGAAGGGCGGAACATTTCAAGTGCCAGTAAAGATGGAGAGAGGCGTAAGCAAAGTTTATGTAGCTCAGATGCAGGTGAAGATCATAGTCGCTCAGAAGAGCAAAAGCAACAGAGCTCTAATTACTACGTAGAGCTGAATGCTAGGAAGGAGAGCGTCTCCAGTCCAGATAGTCAAAACCAGAGGTTGTCAGAGGAAGAACAACCAGAGGAACCACAGATTCAAAACCCCCGTCAGAGACTTAAAGTCAGTGTTGACGAAAGCATAGGTAACTCAGATGCAGACGAGCCAACGACATCAGATGAAGAGCAGCTGGAGTTTGAACGCAACGAATTAAAGGTTAGAAGTGAGGAAAGTTTGTCTGGAATTGAGGAAGAGAAGGAGAGCATTGGCGAGGAGGATCAATTTAATGATCTGCCAGATCCTGAGGAAGTTAGATGTAACAAGCTACAGGCTTTGATAAGGGAAGCGAAGGAGATTAGCTCAGAGGATGAGGACCCCAAAAAAGACGACAGCAGCTTGTTAAACTCTGACAGTTTAGCCGAGCGTGAGAGATTTAGTGCAGATGAGCACGGCAGCTGTGAAGAGCAAGTAGAGATGGAGCAAATCAGGAGCTCAGTTGAAGAGGAAATAAGCTTCTGTGAGAAAGAGTCCAGCTCAGAGAAGGAAGAACGTCTGGAAACTCCTGTAGCAATGGATAAAAAGGTTGTGGAAAAAGTCAAACTACAGTCTGAGGAAATCATTTCCCAGTCCATTGCAGAGAGGATAAACCTCCTGGAAAAGCAAGTTGCAGATGCACAGAAGAGGAAAAATGTCGCAGAGAGTCCTGCTCTCAAACGTGCTCCTCAAAGAAATGTCCACCTGGAGTCAGACAGTGAAGATTCAGCCTCTGAATCTCCCTTCACCAGATCAGCCCCTCAGTCGTCTTTGTCTTTCAGCTACGATTCCGGTGGCGTCATAACCACGGAGCCTGAGGGCAACCGGGTCAGATACATCAGGGAAATGTTCTTAGCAAAAAGTGCCACGGACAATCGGCAAAGACACCAACGTTTTCAAAGCCCAAACGCTTCAGAGCTGTCCGAGCTAAGAGCAGACACATCAGCGAGCGGTGGCTATCAATCTCAGACTTCAAACGAGATGTCCGGTGGTGAAGATGACTCAGCACGGAAATCAATCACGAAAGGCTTTGTCAGGAGAACAATCGAAAGGCTTTATGGCAAAAAAGATCCTGATGAGAAGGCAAGCGAAAGACCCCCATCTGCCCCAAAACAGAAAAAGAAAGAGCTTTCCAGCATTTTCTCCCCCTTCCACTCAGCACGGACCAAAGCAACGACTGAGTTGTCTTATTTCAATTCCACCAACGCCCTGGACTCCTTGACAGAGGCGACGAGATGCATTGCTTTCAATGCACAAGTTGGGCCTGGAGACAGTGTTCCCATTGATAATGGACGATGGCTCCTCAGAGAGAACACACCGATCCGAAAATCTGTTTCAGAACCAGTGGCCATAAACAAAACACTCACCAACAGTCCTCCGGGCGAGGAAATGTGTGAGGACACAGAACAGAACGCCCCAAACTCATTCTACAGCACGACGTCCGAACTGGAGGACAAGACAAAGTCACTGTCAAGAAAGTGCACCTACTTTTCTCTGCCGCACGCCAGCGACTCAGATGCTTGTCAGGACGACATTAGGCCGGCGAGTAAGAGCAGTGTGAGCAGTGAGGCCATCGCAAAAGACACCTCAGAGGACGCCAAAACATGGGGAGAGAGGAACGGCATCCTTCCCGCTGGCGGTGTTACAGACTTTAGAATGATGGACAACAAAGTTCACCCACTGACAGAGGTTCCATCAGACGGGGAGGTTGTAGTGGTGCAGCCTCGGAGAGGTCAAGGTGTCATGGACAGGAGGCTTCAGGAGCCTGATGTGTTGGACTTGCTGTATAATTTTTGTGGTGAACACTGTCCCATCCTGTAAAGACATATCGCTCAACAGAAATCAGACAAACAACAAGGACAGACAAAAAAAAAAAGGTCAAAGTGAAGTGTACATTGTTAGGCTACAGTATATGTATATATATTTTTGGTGCCTACCGTTTGATGTTGCCATAACCTTGGCGTAATACACGATCATATGTCAACACAGCTAACCACACAATGCATCATACACACACGAGCCAATGGATTAAGTTTTATTCATACGTGACCGTTTATGTTGAGAGCTTGTGACTTGTCAGTTCATGCTCTGAGATCAGTGTAAAAATAGTCAGATGTTTCGTTTTTTTTGTGGTACCACCATGATTGTGTATTTGCCATGCACACTCCAGAGCAGCTCTTACCTTCTTATAGGTCGCCTGTCACCAGAACAAACACCCAGAGCATTACCATAATCTTGTTGTAAAACTATTAAAACAGATCAAGTCACCGCAGATGTCAGGCAACAAGGCCAATCCCCACTGCACACAGGGAGCGGGTCAGTCAGTGGTCACAGATCAGGTTCAGTGCAAAATGGTGACATTTTCCTTACGGTTTAAAAAAGGAACTGAAATGGAAAAGAGCGGTGTGACAATTATAGAAACTCTTAGTAAGTATTTTAAAATCCTTTTGTATATCGGTTGGTGTAAAGTGTAAAGAAGATATTTAATGATTTTCACTAAGTAACCATAGTGTATCACAAACTCACAATAAAATCAATTTTATAGGATAAAGGTTTTATTGTTTACAATGTGGCAGCTGTGACAATTTTGTCTCTTTAAATTCACATGTAAGAATAAAAGTGTGTATTTACAAATGTTGGACTTTCCCTTTTTCTTCGCGATGACCTTTTCCTGGATTTAATTCAGTCCAAACCATCAGATCAGATGATCCTGGTGTGAGCAGCAGTGGAAAGGCCAAGGTGAGCAGGGTGTTAAAGATACCTCAGGGAAGCTCGGCTCGCTTGTTTTCTGCGGCCGATCAGTATCAGGTCTCTGAGGACGAGCGAGGGGACCTCTGTTTTCTCACTCTCTGCCTGAGGAAGTATCCATGTTGTTCTAAGGTTGTTTTGTTTCTCAGAAGTTGCCATCGAGCCAGCCCGTGTTGTGACAGGAGTGTCGAGGAATGCGCTAAGAGGGGAGTGTTTACATCTGCAACTACAAAGAGCAAACATGACAATTACACAATTTACACTTCTCTCATCTCAAATATCAACATAGTGTCTTGAGGACTGCAATTTACATTTCTTAAGCATTTGAAATTCTGGAAATGATGATAAATTCAGCCAGCATCATGTTTGACAACAGGGATGCATTGATATATAGGGTCAGGGAAATATTGATGGAAATATTTTTCCCTTTCTTGATCACTGTAAAAAAATGTATTTCATGGTTCCTTAGTATATTGTGTATGAATCTTGATGTCAAAATTCTGACATATTTAACGAGTTAGTATTTTGTGTTGATCTAAATATCAATTTTATTAATATATTAACAAATAAGAGTAAAAACCTGTATCTACCACCAATGTGTAGCTCAAAGCCATAATGTGGCCCTAGATGTAAGGTTTGTTGTAGTATAATTCTATATCTTTATTTCTTTAAAATCATTTTGGTAATATATGTCACTGACACAAAAATGTTTACTGCAACAATGACCGCTAGGTGGTGCTGGTCAATGTTCTACTAGAACAGTAGAGCACATACCTCCGCTAAAGCACATTTAGAATTCACGACATTTGGATCAGCATAACATTGCTAAATAAACCTGATTTCCCACCAAGTTTCGCAGTAATAAATTTGGTAGTTTTTGTGTAATGCTGCTAAATAACAGATAAACAAACATGCAGATGAAAACACAGCACGCTTGGCCGAGGTTAATGAAAAAGTTAAAATGTTACACAACCACAAACTCCCCTGTTGTTTTCTTCCAGACAGAATAACTGAGCAACAACATTTTAAACAGTTTATTATTTAAATAAATATTTACATAACAGCTTCGTATAAATCAAATTTCTTTTTCTTTTACACGACACATCTGTCTAAAAGCAACTGTTTAAACAAGGAGGAAGAAAATAAGGGATGTATTACAATGATACTGTAAATCTGTGATTAGAGTCTGAACTTAATCCATCGTGTCGATCACTGAGCAAATGTTCTCAATCATAAACCTGGGTGACATGTACCAGCACTAAAATACCATTTAAAGCCTGATTCTTGCATCATCTTCCATTATATTTTTTATTAGAGTATGCATAAATCTACATGATAATTTGATATACATATTTGTTTTTACTAAGGAATAGGAGGATGATATTCTACACTTACTCAATAAAACACCAAATGCTGTTTAGAGGAACATATGGCTTAAAAAGAAAAAAAGAAAGAATTATAAATCAACATCATTAAGTCACACGTTTTTCATTCAGGCACAAACAAAGCAATAGACGGCCTTGATGAAATAAAAAAACGTCACTCGTACAGTACAGGCTACAATGCCCTGCTAAATGTATGTGTACAGTATATGGCTCAGCTCAGAAACAGTTCAGGCGAGGTGATCTAAGAAAATTGGAGCAGGTTTATTTAATGCCCAAGCTACAGTTCTAACCCACATCTCTTCCATCAGATTGTTGAAATGAGTCTCGATGATTAAAATCACCTGGTTTTAGATGATTAGTTTGAAATGTTACAAGAAAACACGAGTGTGAACGTGAAGAGACGCATGTGGAAGTGTGCAGTTGTGACCTTTAAAATTCATGGATGTTTATACTTGAGACAAAGGCAGCATCATTACGTGTTGAACGTTAATAAAAATCCTCCGTGCACAGATTACCCCAGGTGTAAAAACACATGACAACAGAATGAGGAAAAAATCTAAATCAACCATTTATTTAATGCAGTCAAATGATGCGATGCTTCTCATGTCTCTCTGGGATGAAAGAAGAAGAAAGCAAATGATGAAATGCTTTTTGTTTTCTATTGCTGTCAGATCATGCATGTAAACTCTTTTAATAAAACCAATTGTTTGCTTAAAAATGTATAAAGAAAATACTCTTTCTTTCAAAATACTATGCAGGGAGGGATTAAAGGGAGGATTAATAACGTTTTTCAACAACTCCGTGTTGTTATCATCCTGAGATTTGAACCAATGTGTAGCCTCTCCAAGGAGTAATTTACAGTTTTTATTTCGTTATGCAAATAAAGATGGCGTCAGACACTGCGCGCGCCTCTGTTAAATCCATTGTTACCTTTCCTGGAGACGGTCATACTGTGTCAGTTTTGGGTTTGGGCGAGTGTTGTCCACTCACAAAGTTATAAACCAAAAACTGAGAAGTGCCAAAATAATTTGTGGCAAAGAGTTTTCCATCAGGGGTGGGGTCGGAGAAAGCGATCTCATCTTTGCGCAGGTAGGAACCGAATATGAAGTTGTTCCTGTGCAGAAAAACAAAACAGGAAGCATTTATTTTGTTTAACTTGTTTTCAGTAGATTCCAGATCAAACCTTTGCAGCGTGTGGACTCACTGACCTCAGACACTCCAGCATACGTGAAGCGATGCCCAGGCGTCTCATCATGTTGACGACCCAGATGCGGCTGATGCCACAGATCGCCGGCTCTGGCGTGGTGGAGCAACACCAAGCTCTCTGACGTTCGAACATCACCTTCTCTCCCTCTGAACCCTCCGGGACGGGCTCCTCGATCACCCGGTACCCCTGAAATCACAGACCCAACCATGGATGATGCTCAGTTTTCTATGATGATGATTTATCGGCTGGCCCAGAAAAATTGGCTTATATAAGTCTTTCAGAAATTATTATCTTCTTTTTTTTTTACCATACCAGCAGGCTCTAGAACTAATATCTCAGTCAGTCCATGTCATATTATTTCTACCATGATGAGTAAACCTTAAAAGACAAAGTCTCACCTCTTGTATGTGCTCTGCTATGAGGCATCCAGTCACCTTCTTGTCATTGGAAATAAAGAGGAAGGTTTTGGTCTGAGAGGGGCACTTGGTCTCCACCTGCTGGAAGCCGAGGTCATTGTCCACCATCTCCCTGATCTCCTCGACCTGAGGAACAAACCACTGCTGTTTAATGAGGAAATACGAAGCAGTTTCTATCCTATTTATTTCACACAAGATAATGAACTCAAGCTGGTGTAACATAACAATTTATCCAAAGGAAACTGAAACAGTCTACTGCATATACAAGACATTTTTCTACTGAGCTACATACACCCACCCACAACACTGACAACCACATAAAAGGCTCTTTTTTGAGAACAAACCTTCTTCAGGGCATATTTAGGATCATCTGGCAGGACGAGAATGATCTTGCCATCAGGATACTCTCCCAGAATCCTCTCTTTTTTCCATCCCTGAAAAATCAGATAAGCTGTTAAATGAAAATATCTTTATTGATCCACTGAGGCATTCACATTTTGTTTTTGCATCATACACTAACTACCTGAGCGTTAAGTAAGTATTATTAGATACATACATCTTATACTGTAAATTTGTTTCATATGTTTTGATTTGTGTCAATTGGTTCAGCTAATGTTTCACTGATTTATTGTAAATAGTCTCAGGCACTTTGCTTTGCCTGGAACACACCAAGAGATAGACCCTGTCAGCTTCGTTTTTGTTTTAATTTCTGGAAGACACCGAGGAGGAAGTGAAGGTCTGCCTGCTGCTGGTTAGAAACAATACTTCATCTGGTCTTTGAAAACAGTAATGATGTACATGCTCATATAAAGCAGCAAAGTGAAAGCTGATCACAAGTGGTTACTCGAGACACGATTTAACTTCACATGTGAAATGAAGTATGTGAAGCTGTGAAGTGCAGAATGGTGTGTGGTTACACTGGTGTTTGAGTCAACACTGAAGCCAGTAGACAAGACGGACGTGTGATTTAAGGAAACTTGCTCTCACCACATATTTGACAGCGCTGATGAACTGATTGTGGAAGAGTAAATGCTGAGATTCATCCTCTGGGTTGGCAGCAGAGTA